CCTTGTTCTTTACTCATATACTCGGGAGAAAGTACTGGAACCCCTGTGTAATGTACTAGTCTTGCACGTGATTGTTTGTGAAAGAGTACGCGTTGTACTTGGAACCACTTTGTACTACAGTACATCCGCCAGTATAAAACAAATGACAAATAAATAGGCGATGAACTCAAATGAGCATACATAACAAATGTTAGTCAGCAAGGTACCACATGACTTTCACAAACAATCACGTGCAAGACTAGTACATTACACAGGGGTTCCAGTACTTTCTCCCAAGTATATGAGTAAAGAACAAGGTTTGAAGCGTTGGTAAAGGACAGGCTTTGGGGTTTGCAGCGTCGATCTTTATGAAATGCGTCATGAACTCGGAGTTTCAAGGGGATTCCCGTGGATATTCCTCCCCTATACGCTACTATACTCTGTTGTTTTATTGTGACAAATGCTGTTTAACGCCGTTTTTCGGGTTCCGGAAGTTATCGCAAGAATGTTGAGTTTTGAGTAGAAGTCCTGATCCCAAGCGAGTGGGAAAAGTCTACCCAGGCGAGACATTCGCCCATAACTCTGTTCCTGTTCTGTACTCTGAAGTATCGCTATACTGCATTACCATTGCAAGGTAGGTAAGGTCAACCCTATTAACACCAGAAGACCTCCATACACATCGAAGTGATTGAATTTGTTTGTCGGGGAATCGCCATCATAGTTGATGAACAAAGCAAACCCAAGGTCAACGCAAAAACTGCCTAAGACAGCGCTTTCTGAAAGGCTATAATTCCTTCATCGAGAAACCATTCTTCTGTTCCACCTTTCAAGAGTTTTTGTTTCTGAAACGTTAGCGTGCGTGACTTGCCACCAGGGTCAACTGTTAATGTCTGCACAGTCACAGTTTCAGCTCACTTTACAACATAAATCAGCCACTCATCCATCTAATTAAGTAGAAAAAGGACGACGGAGGTGGTAGCCAGTGCTGACCCATCTTTTTGTAAGTATTTGCTGTAATTCGACCGTCAGAGACCATCATAGTGGTGCTTACGGCACCTTTACTGTCCATCTAACGGAAAACCCAAAATAGGCCAGGCATCTTAATGAAGCATGCAGGTACACACTCAGAGAATTTTTGAGCTTGGGTATTGGCCGGGAAAAACTACAGTATTCAGTAATGTCCTCGAAAACTTCATGTGCTCAACAAACTGATATTGGCGATTCAGCATGGAACAGATTGGGGAAAAAATAGGGTCGTGTCCATACTCCACGACTCGAGCAATTCAGTCGCGCGGTCGCTGCCGACTGCGCTCCAGCGCTAATCATTGGGCAGCTGTAACAACTGAAAGAGGCAATATCTTGAATGTTTTTGATTCAGCTGTTGCTGTGGTTCAGTCGCTAGCGAATGGACGAAATAGAAAGCAGTGATGCGATTTCTAAATCGTGCAAATAATTTACTCCAGTCGCGAAGTATGAACGCAGCAATCTATGTAAAGTAGCATGTGGAGAAATTGATTATGAAATAATCAGTGAAGAGCTCAAAGAAAGGGAAGTGAGAACAGCTGCAAAGAGAAAACTTGCAATGAGAATCGCGTTGCAAAGAGTTTAGGCGGACCACTCTTCGATCTTTCACGGTCATTTTTTGTTATATCAAAGGTCATGGTATGAAATCAAGCAGAATATTTGTATCTCGCTGGCACAGGCTCGGTCATTGGTGGGGCACGGAATTGTGCTCAGAAGCTTGCACAGGCCACTTTTTCTTTGTCGCCATCTCGTAAGCTTTGGCCAGAAAGTTTACAGGTTCGCAAAGTCAATACTTCTGTTATTACTAGAAATCAAAATAAGAAATTAGCGAAAGCTGCCGCCACTACAGCCTGAATACAGCGATTTCGTGTTTGTTAGTTTGTCGGTTGGAGCATGTAGGTGCACCAAAGCTACGGTTCCTGTGGTTGTTCCAATTTTTTCGGTGCTGTAGCTCACACGTCACTCAGCCGTGAACTAATCAGATCTCAGAGCCGTCATTTGCGAGCCTTTTGGCCAACGCCGGTTCTTGCTTTCCCATGTTGCGCCGCTCACAAAAACGCTACAAATTTGCCTTTTTCAAAGCTTTCTTTTGAGTAACGCGTTTTGCTGTCCTGAGAGTTTAACACGATCCTGGAACAATGCGACCTTCCCACAGCGCGCAGTATACTCATTTTGCTTTTTTTTCTTATTGGTAGACTCTGCCGTCCGCGCGGTGCGACTTTATCTATAACTCTCCTTGCTTCTAAGTTGTCCTCTTACTTTGAGTCACTGTACATGCCACGAAATTAGGGCATACTGGTTCAGGGCTCACATCGAGCAGTACACTCACACGTGAGCCGCTGCCACAAAACTGGGAATACGTCC